CTGATGACAACACCAAGTCATCAATTAAAGGGTCAGTCAACCCAAAAGTGATATTGTAATTGTAAGTGGAATTTGGTGGGATCAGTCAGCAGCAGCAGCAGCCTGGCTCTTCACCGGTCGAACATGCCCCAACCCAATCTGTTCCAATAATCAGCACTTGCTTAGGGAGTGAGAGTGCTATTGATTAGAGCAGGGTTCAGGAAGGAGGGGGGAATTGTGGGTCAGACCATGGGAGGACTGGATCACTGTTTTGTGTAAGAGAGCCGTGGTCCGACTCTCCTACGTGCTGACAGCAAAGGGTATTTTAGTCTTAGCCTGATATTTATTAGTGTATATGCAGCCTGGATGGGGAGAGATTTAAAGGGGAACTCCAAAATGTTGAAAAATCAAACGTTGCAGTGGAGCCACCCTTGCACTGCAAAAGTTAACTGCTTGTTTTGGTCTAGGGGAGCAAATAAGGAAAATATACTCGCCTGATCCTCCATTCCGCCTGACTACCAGACTACCAGCCTCTTCTCCCCCGGGCTTCGGCAGTCTAAGAGCCGTTGACCTAATCACGTCTAATGCAGGTCCATTGTCGAGGGACATACCACAGCCTGACCAGAGGGTGAGAGAGGTGAGCAGTCACTGCTGCAGGATCAAGGGTAAGGTGATTATATCTTCTTTATTCCGGCCCATAGAAAAAAAACATGTACTCCGGGTTTTTCTAAAGCTAACTCTTGCAGCGAGGCTACCCCTGCACTGCATGGGTTAATTTTGTAAAAGCCTGAAGTTCTTCTTTAAGGAATATATAAATATTTTATTGTCCATAGCCTGGCCACAGTGACATGTTAAGTCACTAATTCCTAGTGAATATATGTATTGTTAATCTTATCGATTTGCAATATATTTCTCCATGCAACAAAATGGCTCCACTCCACCGTGCGAAGCGATTGGTGGACTTTAAAGCTAGCCAATGAAGAAATAGATAATCACGCTGTACAGGCTCGATTTTAATCTATTCTAGAATGACAGGGAATAAATGAGATGCTAGCGCACACCGGCAATATATGGCACGCGCCGATCTAATCATAACGCAATTTGCAATTTGCAACTCAGCACTATTAACATGCAGACCTATGGAAAATGTGTAATATATTGTGCAAACAGGGTCACGGAAAAAGCCTGGAAAATCCATTTACAGGCTCCGAGACACATTGACAATAGATAATAGATGTGTACAATCTGAAACCTGAGTATCAAGGAAGCAATGCAGAGAGGCTTAAAGGAAAAGTACTTCTAGTGACTACGCATATTTTGAATAATTATTGCCGTGTTTGCATTCAAGTATTTTCATTTAATGTGATTTTCACATTTGTACAAGCTCGATGGCACATATTTGTATTTTTGTTAAATGTGGAGATTTGTAGATTAGCCACTAGAGGCAGCTGCAGCTACTACAATTACTCTGTAATATAAGATATGCTATATGGCCAAAAGTATGTGGCCACCTCTCCAAATTATTGAGTTCAGACATTTCCATTGAAGGATACATAAACTGTGTAACATCCCTAAGCCCCAGTTCACATCTGAGCACTCTGCCAATGTGCTTGTTTGCACGCATAGCATGCCAAAATGTGTGTCACTGTGTATGACACACTTCCAGGGCCATAATAAGGCAGCCTGAGACGTTTGCCCCAGGCGGCATCTCATTGGGGCGGCAGGTGTATATGTGTGTGGGGGGTGTGGCAGATGGGGGCCACAGCGTCCCAGGTTGCTAAGAGCTATGTGACGCTCTGTCCAGCTTCCTGCCCAGCTCAATGACATCAATGGTTGCCATTCCGCACTGGCTGGCGTCCTGCCAAGCTCCTGGGAACCAGTGACATCAGTGAGCTGGGGGGGGGGGGGGAGACATCACGGCTCTAACACAGCCGCCCGTCCCACCGCATCTTCCTCCCCTCAAAAAAGCAAATTCTGCAACATGCATTCTGCGTTTTTGCGCATTTTAATGCGCTCAAATGCAGAGAAAAAATGCATGTCTTCCTGGCCGCATTTGGGATTCCATTAGAAACGAATGGAAGCACGCTTTGCCACGTTTTCGTGAGCGTGCATCAAAGGGCGTTTGTTGCGCGCTCACGAATGCCATGGTGTGAGTAAAAAAGAGTGGGCTGTCCCTAATGCGCTGCACAAAAGCACGCCTACGTGCATGCCGCACAATTGGAAATGGGGGCTAGGACAAGGTGTGTGATAAAATAATATTAATAGACAGAACAGGAAATGAGCCATATGGATGGGGGACACTAGATTGAGCTCAGCACCTGCTGCGTGCTTTGGAAATAGAATTAGCAGCATGCTGGAAATGTTATTTCATGTTGTCATAGAGGAGCTCTGCTTGTGTTGTCGTTCTTTGTGGTTGCACACAAATGACATAGAAGGGGATGTGAGTAGGGATTAGGGGAGGAGGGGACCAGGCACACGGATGGGATGACACAAAGCTGCCTGCAAGCGGTTAGGGACCGAGCAGCAACATCTGTCCTTCATTTGCATATTCCCGCCCGTGGGGAGCGCTGATTGGTCAGGTGGGATTCTCATTGGCAGTAGTTGAGGGAGGTGATTGGCGGACGGTGCTGTCAGCAAAATCGGGCGACCACGCCTCTTTTCCAGGGCTGATACCGGTGCCTGGGAGGTGAGCCGGGGGAGAAGCTACCGGCGGGGACAGCGCATTTGGTACGCCGATCGTACCTGAAATCCCGGGACTGGAACGCTTCACCGGGGAGCGGGAACAGGGGAGAGAGCTGTGCTGGGGAGAAGTTCTAAGTGCGGGGTTCTGGAGACTGCACTCACATCTGGGGTGCCAGGCTAAAGCTCAGTGCTCAGTATTGGGGTGCAGGGCTGAGGGGTGCGGGAGTGAGGTCAGTATCGGGGGGGGGGAAATAGCTGAGGGGTGAAGGGTCAGTAATGGTGTGTAGAGCTGAGGAGTGAAGGGTCAGTAATGGAGTATAGAGCTGAGGGGTGAAGGGTCAGTATTGGGGTGTAGAGCTGAGAGGCGCATAGTCAATATTGGGGTATAGATCTGAGGGGTGAAGGGTCAAGATTGGGGTGTAGAGCTGAGGTGTGAAGGGTCAGTTTTGGGGTGTAGAGCTGAGGTGTGAAGGGTCAGTATTGGGGTATAGAGGTGAGGTGAGAAGGGTCAATATTGGTGTATAGAGGTGAGGTGACAAGGGTCAATATTGGGGTGTAGAGCTGAGGAGCAAGGGATCTAAGTTGGGGTGCAGAGCTGAGGCTGTAGGGGTCAGTATTTGGGTGTAGATCTGAAGCATGAGTGGTAAAATTAGGGTGTAAAGAGTCAGTATTGGCATGTAGAGCTGAGTAGTGAGGGGGTCAGTATTGTAAGACTTCTATTAGGTGTACAGGGTCAGGAGCCAGTACTGGGGTGTAGAGTAGAAAGTCATTAGAGGGGTGCAGGATTTTATGGTGAGGATCTACTAATGGGGTGCAGAGCAGGAAGTAATTAGAGGGGTTCAGGATTTTAGGTTGAAGCACCAGTGCTGGGGTGCAGAGTAGGAAGTCATTAGTGAGTTTAGGATTGTAGGGTGAGGAGCTAGCACTGGGGTACAGAGTAGGAAGTCATTAGTGAGTTTAGGATTGTAGGGTGAGGAGCTAGCACTGGGGTACAGAGTAGTAAGTCATTATTGAGTTTAGGGTGAGGAGCCAGCACTGGGGTACAGAGTAGTAAGTCATTATTGAGTTTAGAGTGAGGAGCCAGTATTGGGGTACAGAGTAGGAAGTCATTGAGTTTAGGATTTTAGGGTGAGGAACCAGTACTGGGTGTAGAGTAGGAAGTCATTAGTGAGTTTAGGATTGTAGGGTGAGGAGCCAGTAGTGGGGTAGAGAGTAGGAAGTCATTAGAGGGGTGCAGGATTTTATGGTGAGGATCCAGTACTGGGTGTAGCATAGGAAGTCATTATTGAGTTCAGGATTTTGGGGTGAGAAGCCAGTACTGGGTGTAGAGTAGGAAGTCATTAGAGAGGTGCAGGATTTTAGGGTTAGGAACCAGTACTGGGGTACAGAGTGGGAAGTCATTAGTGAGTTTAGGATTGTGTGTTGAGGTACCAGTACCGGGGTACAGAGTAGTGAGGGAGTTAGTTCTGTTGGTCAGGTCTGTATTGGTGTTAGGTGGAGATTCGGTACTGGTATATAAAGGAAAGATCAGGAAATAGGGAGAAACTACTGGATTACAGGATTGGGGTTCAGACTGGATTACAGGATTGGGGTTCAGACCTCTAAACTGTTTCTGTGTATGCTTGCACGTTGATATTCAGAGCTGTGCAGGGTAAATTGAGGGGAGACAATAAAACACAGCAAGGCAGTGCTGAACAGAAAGGAAGCTGGGACAACTGAGAGTGGCTTAGTTTCCCAGAGCAGAGTGCAAGAGATTACGCATAGAACAGGTTGCAGGGATCCACAGCGATCACATATACAGAACACACTGAGCTGGCACATGAGTTGGAAGCCAAGTTGCAGGTTGAGCAGAAAAACCAGCGAGGAGCCACAGACGACACAGGTTAGACTAGAGCTGAGGGATTCAGAGCATTCACACCACGTAGCAAAGAGAAGAAAAGCTTGACGGTATATAAGGTAAACAATACCAGGCAGAGAAACAGAAGAGACCGAGCGTACAGGAAGACTGAGCAAGCTTTCCCCTAGTTTGCGGACAAGACATTCGGAAAGCCGGAGCACACATTTCAATGCCAGGAGTGGATTTGCAATTGTGACAGCCATTAAAAGGAAGTACAGTCATTCTTAGGACACCTTATTGTCTTCGGAGAACAGCTGGACCCGTGTGGACACTAAGACATCGGACCAGTTCCAGGAGCTCGATTTGGGTTTTGGAGCATTGGATGTAGAGCATCTCAGAGCATTAAGCATCTGATCTAGTCCAGATATTTGCATCTGGGTCTGTGTTGGAGTTCAAGCTAACTAGTTCTTGAGAACACAATAAAGGGCTCCACGGAGAAGAAGGATGCTTCATTAGTCCTCTGAACCCCACTTTCCTGCCCGATCGCTCTGGTGATCAGCTACACTCATTCTTCGGTGGGACCTGTTATTCCTGTAATTAGGCACTCTGGCTTGTACCCTGTTAGCAGCGACCCCCATACGCCAGAGGATGTCGAGGAAGAAGAGTCAGAAAAGTAAAGGCAGCAGCTCCCCTGCCTCATGCAGTGGCCCAGCCACCAAAGAGAATGGCAAGGGGGGCACCGATTGCCATAGCAATGGCATGGTGATGTCGGGACGCCCATCCCTCAGCAACAGTGGGGAGTTTTACGACGTTGCATTTAAGGTGAGACATTCCGTTTGTTATTCCGTGTGACGTCTTGTAAAAGATCAATGTACAGCACAGACCATTTATTTGTCTAACTTATACAGTGACTCTTGCCTATATGTACAGTCATGAGAAAAAGAAAGTACACCCTCTTCGAATTCTATGGCTTTAAGTATCAGGACGTTAAAAAAATCATCCGGTCCTTAGCAGGTCTTACAATTAGGTAAATACAACCTCAGATGAACAACAACACATGACATTTTACACCGCGTCATTATTTATTTTACAAACATAAAGACAAAATGGAAAAGCCAAGTGTGAAAAACGAAGTACACCCTTACTAGTAGCTTATGTAGTAGCCAGGTAGCCAACGCTCCTTAAAAAACACCGCTGGCTCCTAACTTTTGAGGTTTTCTCTGGTTGTTGTCAATGGAGCTGGCACCTAAAAAAAAATGCTACTGGCTCCTGGATTGGACAAACTAGCTCCTGATTTCAATATTAACTATGTCCACCCCTGATGTAACAAGTACTCTATATACTCATAATATAATGTCAGTTGTAGGGCAACAGGTTTGTGACAATATCAGTGGACATGGGCGGTTCACTAACCCACGTAGATGGGCATGAGATCTAGGTGAGCGAAAGAAACAGCATGGGGTGTGAGAAGGAGCTGCTTGGGACAACTTTCCCAGTCTGCTGTTTAGTTTGAGAGCTAAAAGGGCCCCTTTTTGTCAACGTACACCCCACCCGAGTGAATTATAAGTTATAGGTGGAGCCTGGGCAAGTTTCGATCATAGTCAGATGGGCAGTACCTATATGTTGATAATCATGCCCCTTGCCTTGCGTATAACAGTGCATGGGTCTGGCAATTAACATTCAGAAGCCAAGCACTGCATGATAGGAGTGAGAAAGGCAAATGAAGGCACCGGAGGAGGGTCCTCAAACTTTCTAAACAAAGGGATAGGTCACTTAAAGCGGGGGGGGGGCTGTGCCCAATGGGAGAAAAAAATGCCTTGTGTTAGATGGCGGGGTTCTTAATCGTTAGTAGCAGTGAAAGTATTAGTACCCATCAATGGTGTCAATGAGAGGAATTGTGCCCCATCAATAATGTCAGTGGGAGGAATAGTGCCCTATCACCCCATCATTGGTGTCAGTGAGAGGAATAGTGCCCCATCCAATGTCAAAGGGAGGAAATGTGCCCCATCATTGGTGTCAGTGGAGGGAATAGTGCCCCATCGTTGGTGTCAGTGGGAGGAATAGTTTGCCGTCAGTGGGAGGAATAGTACCCAATTGTTGGTATCAGTGGGCCCCATTGTTGGTATCAGTAGGAGGAATAGTGCCCCATTGTTGGTATCAGTGGGAAGAATAGTGCCCCATTGTTGGTGTCAGTGGGGGAATAGGGCCCCATCGTTGGTGTCAGGGGGGGAATAGTGCCCCATCGTTGGTGTCAGTGGGAAGAATAGTGCCCCATTGTTGGTGTCAGTGGGGGGAATAGTGACCCATTGTTGGTGTCAGTGGGGGGAATAGTGCTCCATCATTGGTGTCAGTGGGGGAATAGTGCCCCATTGTTGGTGTCAGTGGGGGAATAGTGCCCCATCGTTGGTGTCAGTGGGGGGAATTGTGACCCATTGTTGGTGTCAGTGGGGGGAATAGTGCTCCATCATTGGTGTCAGTGGGGGAATAGTGCCCCATTGTTGGTGTCAGTGGGGGAATAGTGCCCCATCGTTGGTGTCAGTGGGGGGAATAGTGCCCCATCGTTGGTGTCATAAGGGAATAGTGCCCCATTGTTGCAGTCAGCGGGAGGAATAGTGCCCAATTGTTGGTGTCAGTGGGGGGAATAGTGCCCCATTGTTGGAGACAGCGGGTGGAATAGTGCCCCATTGTTGGTGTCAGTGGGGGGAATAGTGCCCCATTGTTGGTATCAGCGGGATGAATAGTGCCCCATTGTTGGAGTCAGCAGGAGGAATAGTTCCCAATTGTTGGTATCAGCAGAAGGACTAGTGCCCCATCAGTGGGAGGAATAGTGCCCCATGATTGGTATCTGTGGGAGGAATAGTTCCCCATTGTTGGTGTCAGCGGGAGGAATAGTGCCCCATCATTGGTATTTGTGGCAGGAATAATGCCCCATTGTTGTTGTCAGTTGGAGGAGTAATTTCCCATCATTGATATCAGGGGAAGGAATTGCCTCCCCCTTTTGTTGGTGTCAGTGGGAGTTATAGTGACCCAAATGCCGGTCAGATGCAAAAAATTGGCCACATTCGGGCTACAATTTAGTGACTACTGTACCAGAGAGTCTCTGCTATATACTGGAGGGTCCATTTTTACTGAAGGGTTAAGATTGCTTTAAAGCTGAACTCAAAAGGGTTCATTGTACCAAGCAACTCCAAACCTGTATTTCTGATCCCTGCCTCACCTCCCCGCAATGAGGAAGTTAAACTGACCTGAAACCTGGATATCAGTCAGCTATCTACTTCCAGGTGACGCTGCACAAACATGGTGCCGAAAGTGTGACTTCCAGTGACACCTCCACACCGACTTCAGTACTTTAAGTATGTTCTGATGTCAGTTTAACAGGATGCAGCACTTTTTTGGGGTATGATGTTCCCAGCCCACACCTTAAAAACTGAATTGGCAGTCGGACTCTTGGGGGCATAGGTGCTGCTGGGATATTCAGCTCGATCGGTCAGTTCTAGATTCCAAGGCAGGAACTATTTTGGCCACTGGACCCCCTTCTGGAGGTTTAAACAACGGAACTCACACAAAAGGAAGGCAAATACTTTACAAGAATAATAAAAAATAGAATTTTGTTTTAATTAATTTTGGAAGTGAAGGATTGCTCCTCGTTGTTACTAATATGTCTCTGCAACCTGGTATTCAGCGTTAACTTATTTTAAATCTTAGGGCTCATCACATGGGCATGCACGTCCGTGCAAAGACCCGATCCCAGGAGGGTCAGGTACTGCGTTTAATTGCATGCAGCAGCCTGCACCTCCCTCTGCATCTGCATAGGGAAGTACAGGCTGCTGCACGCAACTGGTAAACTTGCAGACGACAACCCTGCCATCAGTTACACGCAGACCCGAAACTGCGCATCCGTGTTCTGTTGGGTGCCTGCACTTGGGCGCTCGCTGTCTACGTCTAAGTTTGGACACCCGGAGCCGCACAGATGTGGATGTTTGGGGCCACCTGTAACCATAGGCAGCTGCGTCCTTCCATAGGGAGGTTTGATGCGAATGAAGTTCAGCAGCACTCGATGAATACTTGTCAATCCGTGTTGTTATTTATTTGAGAAGGTGCGTCACATGCAAAAACCAACGTTTTGGTGCCACGCAGCGTCCCTTCATCAGGGTGATATAGTGACCCCAGAAGGAGGTACAGGTTGCGGCACGCCCGCTGTATGGACGTGCACGCCAATGTGAATGAGCCCTTATTCAGAAGTCTGGTCTGTAGTTCCCCTACGGTTCACGGTTTCCAGCTGTCTAAAAATGATATACAGTCAATAAAAATGAATACAATTAAAAGAAAGACAGATTAAGGCTGTCTGCCAAGAAAGGACCATAAAACATTATATTTTCTTATAAAACAGCAAATTAAAATGTTTTCATTAGAGGTAAACATGATGCAGAATTGAAAATGTATTCACTCTTTCCTCCTGTATAATGGGGGGGGGTGCTGTGAATGTCACGCCGCTCTACACAGTGCGACGCCAGCCTAGCCAAGCGTTGCACCTGCTACACATAATAGCCTCATGTTATTATACATAATTAATCACTAAAGTGTTACATGTAAAAGGTTACTGCCGGAAGTGGGGCCGTCATATTATTGTGTGCAATTAAGTATTCATTTAATGTTGCGGCCATTTACATTTTTTACCATGGCTCCGCAGCCCTGCTAGAGGTACAGGTATCACTTGGCGGGGCAGCGTTTGAAAAAGTGGGGCTACCCCTGTATTGCAAGGGTTAACTTCTCGTTCTGGGCTAAAATAAAGAAAAAATGCTCATTTGATCCTCGGTCCTGCTTGGCTGCTAGATCGGTCCTTGCAGCTACCCCTGGCTTCAGTGGTCTAAGGACCGTTGATGTCATCACGTCTAATGCAGCTGAATTAGACATGAGGACGCCGAGCAACATACCAGAGCAGAGGGGGAGCGAGGTGAGTGCTGACTGCCGCAGGACAGAGGATCCGGTGAGTGTATTTACTGTATTTTAACCCCTCGACAATAACGAGCGCTTAAAGTGATATTAAAGCCTCCTTTTTAAAAAAAATATTTCCTACAAGGAGACCCAACCTAACGGAGGCACCCATGCGCGCTCGTGCCCACAGTGACTGTGTGCGTCCATAGACACACACAGCCCTGTGGCAGGCCACGCCCCTCCTCCCCGCCCAAAAATTTAATTGATGGCAGAAGGAGCCTATGGCTCCTTTGCCATCAGTGTCCTTCCCCTGCAACCAGGAGGAAGTTCGGGGAACGTAGGATCGCTTCGGGACCGCCGGTGGGGAGGAGCGTAGCTGTTAGGTAAGTGTGGGGGGGACTGGGGGAGAAAAAAGGTGCTGGGCCGTTTTTACCCTAATGCAGAGAATGCATTAAGGTAAAAAATGCCCAGACCTTAATACTACCCTGGGATGGCGAGATTGTGCACAATTGCACATAATGAGGTTACATCCGCGCGGTAATCGCAGAAAAAAGGTACATTTAACCTTTTTTTTGCGACACACGACACGTGGCTGTTTTAGCCACGATCGCGTTCGTTTGCACGGGTTGAATTGCGGCGGGAAACCACGCGATTAGCCCGGCGAGACTGGGGTGCCATTCGAAAATAATGGAACCACCAGCGTGATGGGCGGTGGTGGGCCACTCCGTGACCGCACGGCAGTCCGTGCGGTATTGTGCACGATTCACATGCGGTCACGGATTGCCCAGGTGTGAACGTAGCCTTAGATTGCGCAATGTAGAAGCAAGTGCCTCGTGTGCCTGTCCGAGAGACAGAGGTATTTCAGATATTTCAGAGTATTAGATACC